AAATAGAAAAGTAAAGTATGTAAAATGTAAAGAAGCAGAGAGAAGAAAATGGAGAAGAGAAAATAAAGAAGACAAAGATGTAAACAGAAGAAACGAGAGAAAGAGGTCGCGAATACAATGAGATGGCAATTGAGAAAGCCCCGCACTATTTTCGTAGTGGTTACAATCTCGAGGCTTGAGCCATCCGATAAGGCGGGAGGAGGGAAAAACAAACGTAAACGTCCGGATAGTAAGAGAGGTTAATGAGACGAAGAAGGGAAGAAGGAGAAGAAATTCAACCTATTTCCCAGTCATTTTGGGAATAATCAAAAGTAGAAGAGATGTGTCTTCTCTCTCTATATAACATTACATCGGAGAATGCAAAAATTTCGTATCATGACCTTTGCATTTTATGGGTACATCTTTAAAAAACAAAACAAAACCACACAAAATCATTATTGATGTAAGTTTCGTGATATTTCAGGATGCAAATGCAGGGAATATTTCTTAAACTCTGGATAGTGCAAAAACTTTTATTCAATAGACATATTACAAAAAAAGCACTAAATTATATTTAATAAATTTATAATTCTAAAAAACTTAAATAATCTATGTTATTTATAATAAAGTGGTTTATTATTTATTATTTTAATGCACATGTTATTATTGTCTTACACATCATTTATATTTTCAAGATTTATAAATATTATATTAATATATTTTAATTTAATTATATATATTATTAATAATTAGCTATGGAAAATGATAGCTATGCATAATTAGTGATATCATGACAATTATCTTTTCATCACAACGATTTATACATCTTTTAGGAAAAATATACAACTATTCGGCATAATACAACCACACTAAATAGTAAATTAAAATTAAAAAACGTTTCTTACATTCAATCTCTTATTTACTATATTTTTTAATATCTGTGTGTTCAAATATTAATATTTATATTTAAATTTAAACTAAAACATAATGACATAATCCTTTGCTTACTTATATTTTAATTGTAACTAATTATTTAGTTATGTTTAATTAATGAAACAGTTTTGTCTATGAATTATAGAAATTATAGATATTTATAATTATAGTTATTTATAATTAATTTAAAATAATAATATACGTATTGATTGAGCTATTTATGATTGTACTAGTGAAATATCAAGTAACATATAATGGAATAAAGCGAAGAATTTTACGTAGATTAAACAATAAAATATGTACATTTTTCACTATAAATAAATTTATTATATATAAATATATAAATATATAAATAAATCAATATAAATAAATTTAAAATATCAAATAGATTTTAAAAATAATAATAAAGTTTTGAAAATGTTCTCAGGTTCATTAAATTACAAAACATAATTCTATTAAAAGTAGACACCATGACATGGCTAATAATTATAGTTATATTATTGAAAAAAATTAATTTTTAATCAAAAAATTGTTTGAAACTAAAATAATGCATCATTTTTTGGGTCAAGTCACCCAAATTGTTGCAACAAACATTTTTCAGGCTTCATAACAGAGTTGTAAATATCAAATATTTATTTTTTCAAATATAAGTTACAAGACTTTTTATTAAGAAAAATAATATAAACTGAATTATAGCAAATGCTATTTTAAAATTTTAATTCTCTATATGTATGCGTATCTAAAAATTCTGCTTGATGTTTGGTGTGAGCAAAGACAGAAAATGTTGATATTCAAAGAAGCGCGTACGTTGATTTTCTATTCACAAGGTAATCCTAATGTTCTCTACTGCTCAAGAGTTAGAGCGCTTTTCATGTATCAAAATTCCTACAGCATCAGCCATTATTTACATTTTCTCTCTCTCTCTCTCTCTCTCTCTCTATCTATCTATCTATCTATCTATCTATCTATCTCCAAGCCTTTCTTTTAGTTTGTGTATACCACTATCTCAATCTATTAATAGAAGAATAATAATTTTGTCATTAGCTGCAAATATGACGAAAATAATTGTTGTAAGTTAATCACTTGTATTGAGCATTTGTATCTTGTTCAAATTAAATAAAGCAAAAGTTTTTATTTACATTTTTAATACATGTATTATATATTTCAACAATTCGTTGTATTTAATAGCTGCGATTAGGTTGCGATATTATTATATTATCGTTTGGAAAATTGGTTGACAACAGAAAACAGTGAAGTTTATTGCATAATATCATCGATGAAATGAAACTTCCAAGCTCCATTTCTGTCCTGCATATAAATAATATCGTGGACTTTCTTTTTTAAATTCATCTCATATTATAATCGAATTAGGAAATGGAGTATCTCCATTAGGTTACACATGAAATATTATATTATTCCGCATACGTGGAATATATTTTCGCGAAAAAACTAGCAAATATTTATCTAAAATATATACAATAGTGATGATGAGTCAAGTGTTAATTAATTACGTGATAAATTATATATTTCTTGAGAATTAATACATTAAGAATGGATTAAAATAGAAGAAAAAAAGATCTTAAATAAATAGAATTTTGAACAATCAGCTGTTAGAAATAGCAGTTGATAGTAAGCAAACGAAGACAACCAGTGATATATTATGTCGTTGCAACTGCATTTTTTATCTATATCGCCTTATATAATACAATGTAATAGAGAAGAAATGTAAGAAATTTAAATCAAAATGGAAATATATCTACCACTAAAATATATTTAAGTGAATAATAAAGGTGATAAAGGCTTAAGATAGTCATTTGTTAAAATTAAATTGCAAAAATAGTTGATTAATAAAATATAAAAGAACAAAGTATTAACAATTACTTAATCAGAATAAGACAGAAAGACAAAGAACGTTAAAGACTACAACAGTTTGTAAATGAGAAACACACTTTAAATTGTAAAAGCACTTTAAATTTGTTTTAAAAATAGGAAACTTACGTTTATTAATGAACTTAACGTTTTCGTAATTCACATAAAAATAGTACAATATTGCAATATTGCAGCCGAAATGAGTTACAGTTGAGCGCTTATCGCGAACTGAATTTCACTTGTCGCCCGAGAAGCTCAAAGAAACAGGAAACGAGAAACAATAGGCGCTAAAAACCAACGAAGGTACAAAGTGTCCTCGAACGTCATAAACATAAAGGAAATAATAATTGGACAACTTGCATCCCAGATACACATAAGCCTAGCACTACATTAAAATATATTGAAAAATGGCACAAACAGCCAAAACTATCACAATAATAATGACAATCATATACAATATATTACTAATGCACTAATAATATCAAGTCAAGGCTGAGCCTAAAAACGATGCGAATAAATAAAAAAAAAAAAGATAGATAGGAGTGAAAGGATCGATAAAATCATTTGACTTTGTAACCAATTGACTTTAAAAAAAAAAATTTAATTCTAAATGTATGAGGAGTTTATTTATTAAAGAAAAGAATACACAAACATTCGGATTCTAAATAAGCGATCCACGATACTCTACTTTTTCATTAATGGCAGCCCTACCATTATGACCTGAATTTTGAAATCAGGTAACCGTGTTACAGTCACATTCGAGATTTTTTTAATAAATATATAGTTCCAGTGGGAAAGAAAAGTGCTAATTTCTATCTTTGAATAGACGATATAACTTGTATGTACTATATATATATATATATATATATTAATATCATTGACTCGTTTTTCGTCTTTAAATATAATTAGAAAAATTAGACAACCATCATCATTCTAAACTTTCTAAAGAAAGTACTTTACGCCATTCTTATCACAAATATATTGAATTTTTATACGAATAATTCTATAAAGGATTATTGCATTATATTTTGAATAATCACTTTTTTCAGATATATGGTTTAAAAAATTATATTATTGATCAATGGAAAACGTTTTACGAGAGATAAAATCATAAACACTAGAAGTTTTGCATCAATTCTTACAATATTATCATAATCTACGATTTGACTTATATGGTAATGTAAAATACACAAAGGATATCAATTTTATATTACGAAAAATATTTTATTACATTCCCCATATTTTCTTTCATTATGAAAAATAAAAAATCACGAAATTCTATGTTATATATATATATATATATATATATATATATATATATATATATTTGAGAGAAAAGAGAATGTGCGTTTTTCTTATTTAATTGTATGCTTTATTGCATATTAAAATGACTATTAATATTTATAGGATACAGAATTTGCCCCATAATTTATCATTTAGATTTAACGCGTTGATTAAAAATTCTCTTAACATATAAAAATTATCGCGATTACTATTATAATTGGCGTTGTAAGCATTTCGTAAGCGTTGCGTTGCATTTATTTTCCTAATATTCTTATTATAATACAATCAGTCTGATCTCGTAGGCTTATCGTTGAAAGTTTACGTGATTCACATGATCAGTGGCCCACACGTGCTACACATCTATTGATTTTATTAGACATTACGAAATTATAATGACAATTAACTACTGAATAATGATTGTAATTGAATCGGTAAATATGTGAATATTGAGATAAATAATAAGCGGTAAGTATCTGGAAATAATAAATTATAAATTCTGAAATTTATATTAAAAATTGGAATGATATTAAAATATTGATTATCTGATTTTTAACGATATGATGGATTTTTTATACAAAGTTTCTTTTTCCTTAATCGCAGCGACAAAGCCTAAAAATTGTAATGAGTTTAATTTAAATGAAAATCTATTTGGAATAATTTATGGCGTAGAAGTGACGAATAAGCCAGTAATTTTAATTTTAATAGTAACAATACTTATCATTATCTGAAATAGTATGAAAACTATCGCAGCCCGAGTTAGCGTGAAAGGGGTCCATGTTCGTACAAAAGAAAATTCTTAATCAACGCGAATAAATGGCCGATGTGCGAACAATTGCAAAGCAATAGTTAAGCGAAATCATAGCTTAAGTTACGTATCCGCAAGGGATGGGGAAGCAGGTCAGCTAAATGAACGGGCTATTTTGCTTTATTCGCAGATAATCAGCTATGACTCATCCAGAGGTGGCGTATCGGTTGTAACGGAGAAGGGCTACAGCACAACGAGCTTCCTACTCGTACAACAAGCAAAGCCAACGGATTCGGGCAAATATACGTGCAACCCCAGCAACGCCCAGCCCAAGTCTATCACTGTACATGTACTAAACGGTGAGTGGCATCGCGCATGTTTGCACCCTCCCCTTGTCCCGTCGTTCCCTCAATCTATCCGCCACCATTCCCATTTATTTCCCTTCTCCGCTTCTCAACGCGGTGTTACGACCTCTCCCCGTCCCAGTGCCTCGGCAT